CCAGTATTAAAAAGACTTTCGATCATACCCTAATACAGTTGACATTAGTGTTATTAGATCGTTTCCATTGTGTAATTCATGTTTACATAACCCCACTTGAACCCAATCTAACCTTAAGACCTCGACTCAAAATCTATGGTACAGATAGATCTAGACAGTCAATTGCTTTAAAGAATGAGTCGTCTAAGCCATAGACATGCATTGTTTCTAGCTACAGGTTGTTTTTTTTTTTGGGCGGCGCTATACCGCCCTCTTATTCCCCCTGGCATGTTGTGGCCAGAGACTTTTGGGTTCTTTATTAATAATCATATAAATTCTTACGCTAGTTACTTTCCTAGCTACAGGTTTGCGTTTAGTAGTTTAAGAACCTCTCTCCAGAAGACAAAGAAACATCTTTCCTCCAGAACACTGGTATTATAAAAAGCTTCGTGAGGAATTCGGCACAATCAAATCGCCAGCTCGACGGCAATGACTTAGACCATAGAGTGCCGGAAACGCCTCTCCCTCTTCCCCTCGCCATTGTTATTGTAATTCAGTGCTGCACGCCCACGCATTAGTCTGTCAGTGACCGTCGTCGGGAACGCATCTGTACAATTAGCTCCAGTATTTGCTAATTTCCTACATTCCGAAATTCCGATTCACTCACACCTAACATTCAGTTAGATTATAGTGTTGTGTAAAAATTGCCTAAAATGTTACATTAAATGATAGGAATATATGTTTTCCCGGTTGAGTTTATTGATGGTGTATCCTCAAATGGGTAATTAGTAGTTCATTATTAAGTCGAACTTTAGTAGTGATGTGTTGAAGTGGTTATGTGATTTAAAAAGTAAAAGTCTCTAAAAGTTGTATAGTTTGTTTCACCTGTGATTGCTTATGGCTAAAAAAAGTTGTTTAATGTATAATTTTTTCAAATAACTGTTATAATTACAATTGGTGTTATTAAGAAAAATGGTTGTATGGTACGTGGCGGAACAATCTGACGTTGAGGTATATATGAATTTAAATAATGCTTTCACACTTTAAAGTATGCAGAGTTATTTTATGGTTCAATCTTAGCATACTTATTTCTTAATTCGATATTTAATCATACATTCTTGGTTGCCTGCATCTACTTGAGAAATATTAAATGAATTGTAAACAATTTATAAATATTGTCATTTGAAAAGCATTATGCCACAACGAACAATTGTCTCGTTCAATTCAATAGTACACACTCACACATACACGCTTGTGGTTATTGGCGACATCTTACTGAAATTATAAATGCGACTATTCGTATAGATGAATGGATGGATGGAGGTTTTTTTACAAGCTATATCCAGTACGACTGCATAGACTTAACTAAAATTTGGCATAGATGTAAAATATAGTCTAGAATAACATATTAGGCTACTGTTTTTTTTTCGCGCGGACAAATTCGCTGGCGACACTTAGTTTAAGAATAAACGTTGCTCGTTGAGAATGAATTAGGCCGATTGATCGTTACACATATGTTTATGTATTTAATTTATATCTGGTTTATGTCTGAAGTACAGTTAAGTAAATAATTGTAGCTATGTACATTTATTTACGTTTTTTATAAGACTTACGGCTATTACCTAGAGGGGTTAATTTTTCTACATATTTTCCATCCTTTTTTCTTTCCGTAAAACTGTAGTCCTGATAAAATCGTTAATTTCCACCACACATTACCACATGAGGCGTTCCATTTTAATACATTTTCATATTTTACCTAAAACAAGTTTCCTTTTTTAATTTAATCGTTCGTGTACGAATATGATGTAGGATTGTTGATCATCAGCTCACTAAACGTCCCCACCAAGGATGTCGGAGCCTACCCTAAGTGAGGGTTGATTAGGTCATAGTCAAACACGCTGGCCCAATGCGGGTTGGTTGACTTCACATATATCTTTGAATTTATTCGCAGATATGTGCAGGTTGGATCACGATGTTTTCCTTCACCGTAAGAATGTCGGATAAATGTACATACTCGTATGTAAATCGAAAATCAAAAACACATTAGTACATGGCGGCAATCGAACCCAGAACCTGCAGATTGCAAGTCAAATGCTTAACCCCTGACCACCGACGCTGATGTAGGATTATCCTTAAAGTTTTAGTTTATTCATGCAGGATCACCCTATTTTATCTAAGAAGAATGACATCGGGTTTTTCTGCAATTCTTTTACGTATTCAATAACGTAAAATTGTGGGGCGGCGCGTGTTTTGTGGGATGTCCCCATTTATATAGTCATTTCATTTATGATCAAGGTAATGTAATACTTTGACGTAGTACGAGTAGGTACTTTGACACGACCTGTACTAATCAACTTTATTATGACGTAGTACTTTGACATGCTCGCGGTATGATATTTTTAGAGATATACGGGTGGAGAAAAGCATGCAAAAAATTGTATTGTAGTCCGAGTTTAAATTACAAGACATAAAGTTTAGCTTTAGCTTTACCTCTAACCCTTTAGCTTATTGACACTAATATTATAAAGATTCTATTGTTTTTTTGTTTTTATTGAATAGCTTCTGAAACTACTGATACCGATTTTGTATAGTTGTTGCACTATGGCGAAGCTACACTATCCCTGGTTGTGGGCTATGTTTATTACCAGATTTTTTTTAATTCCGCGCAAACGTAGTCGAGAGTAATTGCTAGTGTTATTTGAGCAATGTACGTTTATAGTTAGAATATGTTCTTAGGGTTTATTAGTACGAGTAAGTGAATGCATTTAGTTTGAATAATCCAATGTCGAAATAACTGTGAGTATGCTTTCATTCATTCTCTCCACATATTGCGTTGTTTATCGTTGTAGATTCTCACGTCGTTTTGTAGCACCTGTGTAAATAGGTACCGCTGTATTCTAGCATATCTGGAATGTTCCCGCGCCACGTGTTATTTACTTGAATAAACTAATTTATCTTTTTATAAACTGCATGTTCTGTTAGATTAGAATGTAAAGCGTTCGCAAAGTTTAGATGCGTTACAATTATTATATTTAGAATTAAAGTGATCGAACATGGAAGCGTCATTTACTTTTTTTTATAGTCTAATAGGTTTTTTTTAATTTAATGCCTTTGTAGTGCTTTTGTTTTTAAATTAGTAACTACGATAGCTATTTGGGAACACACAGAATAAAAGCGTCGGTGGCTCAGGGGTCACTTCACTTGCAATCTGCAGGTCCTGGGTTCGAATCCCGGCATATACAAATGTGTTTTTCGATTTCCGATTTAAATATGTACATTTATCCGACGTTTTTACGGTGAAGGAAAACTTCGTGATGCAACCTGCACATATCTGAGAAGAAATTAAAAGATATGTGTGAAGTCAACCAACCCGCACTTGCCCAGTGTGGTTGACTATGGCCTAATCACCCTAACTTAGGGTAGGCTTCGAGTTCCTCGAGTTCCTCTTTGACGAGATGATGATGACACAGAAAATAACAACTTAATGTTTGTAACATTTCATAATAATATTTACAGTTGTGCTAAATTATAACGAACAGTTGTAAAAATTACTACAAATTATTGAGGAGATATTTTAGTAATATTTATACGCTTTTAAATGGAACATCCTTGAAATAACGTGTTCAGGAATTGGTTAAATAGGTCTTTTTGATATTCTATAATTTTGTTGACCTCATTGTATATTTCTATTTGGAGTGTGAAGTGTTACATTTTATGATTGTAGTAGCAAGTAAACAAACTCATTTCCAACATATCATAAAACTACTATGTTGTTTTCACAGAATGTTTTGCCAAAAATGAGACGAAGCTCTGAATACTTTCGAAACTATAGTGGGGACGCGACCTTATTTACAATGCTGTTTTGAACCTAGCAATTTCACATCTTACTAATATTATAAATACGAATATTTAATGCGGATGGATGGATGTCTGTTTGAAGGTATCTCCGGAACGGCTCAATGGATCTTGCTGAAATTTAGCATAGATGTAGAACATAGTCTGAAAGAACAGATAGGATACTAATTAAGTTTTTTTAAATACCGAGAGGACGCTTATGTAAGGTTGTAAAGAGTAAATTACCAGTTATGGTATTATTTTTGGACGAAATCGTTTTTTCTACATTACCGTATACTTTCTCGATTCGCGACGCTTTACGGAACCTTTTTCCAGTTAATCGTTAAATTCTCACGATATCGCTTCGATGAAATCTACCAACAATGCGGCCGTACATTTTGCAAGTAAACGGCTCTTTACTTTTAGATTGGCGTGAGAGATTCTATGGGTAACAATAAATCATGGCTCGCGACAGTCGATGTGAATCTTTGCCTGTGGAAATTATGTAGTACTAATTGCCGCTCGCGGCTCCGTTCGCGCAGAATTAAAAAAGATCTTGATAAGTAGCCTATCTGTTCTTCCGGAATATGTTCTACATCTATGTCAAATTTCAGCGAGATCCATGCAGCCGTTCCGGAGATATCTTCTAATAAACATCCACACATCCCAACATTCGCATTTACAACATTAGTAAGATTATTCAGTAATTAAGTCTAAAATTGGACTTTATAAAATATCAAACTGTTTCACGCAGAATCGTTTAATGGCCATTAAGAATTTGATGTGAGATATCCACACTAATTCAGTAATTATTTAATCACTCAAAATTGCAATAAGAACGAATTGATGTTAATCAATGATCAAATTAATTAATCAATTTCATCGCTAAAAGATATGTTAGAAAATTTCAAATTATCTGTTGATTTAAAAAATGTTTAATACTATTGATGTCATCGCCACATGGAAACAACCAGACGTGACATGTTTCAATTTCAAGTAATTTATGAAACAGACATTTTTATTGGAATTACTTTATTTATAACTCTGTGAAACTATTTCGTTGACGCAAACACTTTTACATCAATGATTTGACCTACAAAGTCGTAATTTAAAGAGAATTGTGATTCAAATACTTTGCAAAGTATTTTGTGGTAGTTAATTAACCGTATTGTTATTTTTGTTTGCAGAGCGAACAGTCGTCGCCGTTCCGGCGCTGGACTACTGGCAGCGGTGCCGGCAGCTCCTACCGCCACCACGACCACCGCAACATGTATAGTAAGGTGAGATCACATATGACAAAAATATAGACAGGACATTCGAAATGTTTTTCCTAAAAACACTTCATAATCATCATTAGTGCAAGCTTCATGACTTTCACATATGTTAGAGTAAATAGATAGCCGTAGAGATATTAAAAGAAAATAATAAAATTTTTATGTCACTTGAGTTTTTTAAAAGCGTTTCTATCTCTCAGCAGCAAATTAGCGAGGGGTCTGGCGGTGTGGGCGGAGTGGGGGGTGGTGGCGGCGGTGCGGGGGGCGTGGCGCGCTGGTCGCTCGGCCTGGAGCAGCTGCTGGCGGACCCCGCGGGCGCCGCAGCCTTCGCGCACTTCCTCGCCAAGGAGTTCGCCGCCGAGAACATACGGTGGGTCTCCTGTACCTGTGCACTGCGAAAAACTCTTTACAGTCGTCGAGAAGTTGCAGAAGAAAATTGTGTTTTAATACCGGCGCCATCAAATCTGCGTCATGTTTGTGTGAAAAGTTGGAAGAATAATAGCGCCATCTATCGATTATAAATCCAATGTACGTAAAGCTCATAACAAGCTTACATTACTGTTACTAATTTGAATGTGATAGCAAACATTTAGTTGTTGTATTTTTTTTGTAATGTAAGGCATATTTGTGTGTGGGCAGTTTCTGGTGGTCATGCGAGCAGTACCGTGTGAGTGGTGCGGGTGCACGCGAGCGACTGGCGGCTGAGATCTGGTCGCGGCACTTGGCTGACGGTGCGCCTGAGCCTGTGAACGTGGACGCGTCTGCGCGCCGCGCCGCTGCTGCGCGTACGCATCTCCAGCCACCGCCTGATGACCTCTTCCTACAGGTTAGTGTGCACACAATACAACTGTGATAGATCTTTGAATTGTTGTCGACAGGTGTTGGAGTGACAAAAAATTTGTAGCAATCAGCTTATTGAATTTTTTTCGTCTGTTTTATTCAGTCAGGATGGAATGGTGTTCTTTATTTGCAGGCTCAAAAGCAGATCTTCAACGTGATGAAGTTCGACAGCTACCCGCGCTTCTTGAGGTCAGGCGTGCACGCGGAGTGCGCACGCGCGGACCTGCGCGGTCTGCCCCCGCCCTACGCGCCCGCACACAACGCCCCCGCAGCAGAGGACGCCACGCCCACTAAGGTCAGTTTGTTATAAGATAAATTGCAGCAATCAAAATCTATTATATAAACGATCCAATAGTCTAGATTTTTCATACTGAATCTAGTAACGGTTATTAGTATAGTTGTCGAACACAACTCCGTCAGCGCGGAATTAAAAAGAAACTTAATTAGAAGTCTATGTGTTTTTCCAGGCTGTGTTCTATGGTAAAACATATTAACTTTTTACTGTTACGAAGAAAATCCGATACTGCCGGTGTATTGACGCAACACTAGCCTTACTAAAATGTCGACGTTTATGTCCCTTTACTATTCATTCTGACACTTGACTTTGTAGCGAAAGCACGTCACTCGCTTCAAATAATTCTAACTAATAATGTCTAAAATTACTTATGTATTTTTTATTTTTGTACAGTTAAAGAAATCAGCATCAAACGCGTCAGAACGTCGTCGCAGTGGAGGCGCGTCGTTACTGCCGTGGAAGTTGCGCGGCGCATCACGCGAGCGTGCTGAGCGTGGGGAACGTGTTGAGCGTGCTGAGCGTGACAAGAGTGACACGCCACGTGACAACAGAAACGAGAGAGTAGAACCACCTACCTTAGCTGATGTGAGTATTCAAAAATATCTAAATGTTATAATAACGTTTTAAGGCTAGAAAATGATATATTTTACGAAGATATTTTCAACTTTTCAAATTAAACATTTTTTTTTTGTAAAACTAATTTTAAGTTTATTTCTTAAATATTATTTAAAAACATCAGACGTCTAAAAACAACACGTACCGAAATTCTAAATTAAATTTCTGACAAATTCAAATTAAATAAAAAAAAATTTTGTTCACATGTAGGCAAAGAAAGTACAATAAAAAAGCTAGATATTGATATTTCTTATAGCGACCAATATAGGGTTAAAAAGACGAACGACAATTATTTCAAGTCTTTGTTTTATCACATAATATTATAAAAAGTAAAAACAAAAAATGAATAGTTCTTTTTTAAACAAAACACATTGTTAATTGAACTATATATGTTACAAAGCGTGCATCAGACATGACTTGCACACAATGGTAGGAAAATCACCTGCCTATGTAAATATTTGAGCATAGCCGTTGCACTGCATCTTATTATATGGCGTAATACAACATAAAATATATATTTTGCAATAGTTAATAATGCGTAAAATAATTTATAAATAAGATTAAAGTATAGTTTCAAACTTGTAACTGTACTAGCTGTCGCCCGCGATTCCGTTCGTGCTAAATAAAATATGTAGAAATAAAATTTTCAAATTATTATATTAATTTGAAAGCTTACAAAAAATCCTCTATTTAAACATGTGTATGTGTCAGGTGGTGAAGTGCGGGACGCAGGGCGCGAGCTCGCTGTGCCGCGTGGTGTTGCCGGACGGCGCGACGTCAGTGGTGGGCGTGGCGGAGGGCGTGCCGGTGCGACACGTGATCGACCGCCTGCTGCAGCGCCGCAACCTGCACGTGCCCACATACGACGTGCAGCTCAGAGATGAACAGGTACACATCCTTTACATTGTGACAGTACATTAAGTCAGTACTGCTTAAAATTAACGCTGGCAGTCCTTACAGTTCATGCTAACGCGTCCTACTCTACTGGATTAATGTAAGCGTGCCGCGCAAAGTTGACCTTGAAGCAAAAGCTGGCAGTTTTATGCCTAGAAATTTATATTACTTTAAAAGTAGAGGGACCACGGAAAGGGATAGAATGGCTAAAATAGTCTCTGTAAAATCTAATTTAATTTTTATTTCGCTTTATGTATAGTAACTCTTACTGTTAGAATTATTTGAAGAATCCTTTAGTCATGTATATTTTTGCATGAAATATAGAGTAAGTTGTATGTGCAGGGCGTGTGGCGCACGATAGAGGGCGGCGCGGAGTGCAGCGCGCTGGCGGGGCGCGAGGTGGTGGTGGTGCGGCGCGTGGTGCTGCGGCCGCGCCTGCTGGCGGTGCGGTGCAGGCCGGCGCGTCCGCTGCGTCACGTGCTGCGTCACGTGCTGCGCCGGCACGCCCTCACACACCAACACGTGCTGCGCAACTCCCGCCCCGTCGACCTCGACACACCAGTACAGGTCACTTACAATGCCTTCAACCGACTTACTACTTATTGCAGACCGGCTGTCGCCCGCGACTCTGTCCGTGCGAAATTAAAAAATAATAACCTATCTGCTCTTCCCGACTATGTTCTACATGTATGCCAAATTTCATCGAGGTCTTTTCTGCCATTTTGGAGATACCTTCAAATAAATATCTATACATTCGCATTTATATTAGTAAGATAGATTTTAATATTTCAAGGTTCGAGATATTATAATATACTAGATCCTTTTAAGATTTTAAATTGAAAAATAGCATCGAACATGTAATAAGACGTAAATAATTTCGTGAAACCCAGGAGTTGGAGGGCGCAGTGCTGGAGATAGGAGAGCCGTGCGAGGAGGTGGTGGGTGGTGGGGAGCGCGAGGAGGACGCAGACTCGCTGTCGGACCTCGCCGTGCGTCTGCAGGAGGACACCGATCATATGGTCAGTACATCATCACATCTGCTAGTCTTACGAATCACCCACATGGGTTCACCCACCAAGGGGCTCGGAGCTCAACCACGTTGGCCAAGTGCGGGTTGGTATATTAGTAAATTAACAAAAATCTGCTAATATTTCACAAAAAAAATTCTTCACAACTTATTTAATAACTGGAAAATAAGTTAAAAAGTTTCAAATATTGATGAAAAAGTATCTTCCACAGAGCGTGTCCAGTCGTAACCGGGAGAGTGGTGGAGCGGGCGCGGTCATACCGGCAGCAAATATACCTATAGGCAGTAACGGCAACAGCAACGGCAACGGCAGTAGCGGCAACGTGAGCACTGCAGGCAGTAACGGCAGTACGGGGGTTGCGGGGGGTGCAGGGGGTGAGGTGGGGCGGGTGCGCGCCGCCCTCAGGCCCGGCCCACCACTGCACCATCATCCACCCGGTATCTACCTATTCTCTACTTTACATCTATTTTGTTTGACAAAAAGTATCCAATAATGTTTGAATACTTTATAAATTGACCGAAAAAAAGGTCCATTATTCTTATCTATCTTATATTAGCAGTCGCCCGCGGCTCCATGCTCGCAGAATTAAAAAAATACAAAATTAGTAGCCTATGGGCTGTATTTTTTTAATCTGGAGGAACTCCTAAAATCTTCCAGACTTTTTTCTACATCTATACCATATTTCAGCGAGATGCGTACAGACGTTCTGTAGATAAATACAAACAAACATCCATCCATCCATCCAGCCAACCATTTATCCATCCATACGCATGTGAAATATTAATATAACAAAGATTCGTTGACATTTATATTGGAAAAGACAAACAAGTACAATTTTAAATTAAATTCAAAGTTATAACATAATATTTGTAATTTTTTTTCACAGAATTCCTTGAAAATCTACGAGAAAAGCAACGACAGCGTCAAAACCCTCGAACTCCGCCCCCACTGCCACCCAAACCCGCCCAGAGAACTGCCCCCACAGTCGTCTGAGCGTCACGGATATACTTTATTGCATGGAAATAGAGTCCATTTTGCAATGGACAGGCTGGGGTAGCCTATTGAATGGCCTGGAGGTCATTTTATAATGGTTGTGTTGCAGCACTTTCTCAATAAACTGCGACACAGTCCACTTTATGAAGATATTTGATGACGTCACAAAAAGTGGTATAAGTCACAAGGTTATTGGGTTATGAACTTTATAATGATGTGTTAAAGTGTGTTTTTGTATGTTTTTTTTTTCAGTTAAAACGATTTAAGTTTGTATGGATTTAAGATTTTATTGTATAAAAAACAGTAAAGCAAGAGTTTTTTTTAAATCTTTTCTTTTTGTACAAATTGGAATAAACTAGATATTCTTACTGCCTTATCTTACAGTGGGTTTTCGAGACCAAAATCTCTGTTTAAAATACATTATCTCTTTAAAGATGTAAAGCGTACATTTGTCAGCATTTCTTAAATCATTTGCTCTTGTGTTGTGAATTATTGGGCATACACTAATTACGTTATAAATTAAATATTGTCTTAATCCTGATCTGTGTTAAAATCTCGATGCAATTTATTGAATTGTATAAATAAAAAAAAATATTAGCATTTGTATTTTGTAAATACATTTTAGAATTTAAGTATTTTCATATGTAAACTTTTTACATATGAATCTATATATTTAGTTGCAAAATAATATACAACAGAACTACAGCATTTAAAGTGTACTAAAATATTAGTGTATTTTAATTTAATTTATTACAAATAATATATAAAAAATAAAAGAAAAGAAGCTCAGAGAGCCGCTAATATTGCAATAAAATAGTTTAAATATAATTCTACCCTTCGTTTTATTACCTAAAAAAAATTCAGGAATACACTAAATAGAAATCTGTAATCTCTGCCTACCCCTACTCTGGTTTACGGTCATGAGTTATAACTTGCTGTCGCCCACGATTCTGTCCTCAAATTAAAAACAAAACTTTATAAGTAGACTATGTTCTACATTTGTGCCAAATTTCATCAAAATGTGTTGAGCCGTTCTGGAGATACTTTGTAAAAAACATCGAGATATTCGCATTTATAATATTAGTAAGATTATATAAAAAAAATGAAGAGTATCTTGAAATATGTTATAACTAAAATAAATATACAACAAACTTTTTAAACTAATTTAATTTCTTCTTACAAATTACTTATCAGCTATCGCTGGGGTTTCTTCTGGTTTGTCCAACATTTTGGTTGGTTCTGGTTCTGGTTCTGGTCTGATTTTAGTTAACTTTGAAGGGTCTTTGGGAGGTGCCCAGTCTGGTATAATCTTGGCATGAATACGCCATGTACCGTACATGTTAGCAAGGTGCTTTTCAAATACTATGTATTCTAGGACATCTTTAGCCAGGATCTCACTACCGTGGAGTAAACGACCAAAGCGATCATATACAGCTAACTGCTGACGTGTGTGGAAACGGACTGTTACCTGGAAGAAACAGAACTATGATATATTGTTTTATGGTTTACAACCTGTCGCCCGCGACTCCATTGGCCCGGAATTAAAAAAAGCCTTTAGTAGCCTATGCGTTCTTTCAGGCTATGTTCTATTTGTGTACCAAATTTAATCCAGATCTCTTCAGCCGTTCTAAAGATACCTTCACATGAACATCCCTCCAACCAAACATTCACATTTATAATATTAGTAAGATAACAAGTAACATATTAGTAGAAGCACATCTTTTCAAAAAAATATAAAGATTATATATTAAGTTAACATTACCTGACCAAATATATTTTCTTTGGAAACAATATCAGTGCAACGAGCATGCACCACCCGTGGAGGCTCCAGAGATTCCAGGAATTTCCAATGTATGGTCTTTTCCCAAGTGTTATGTCTAAACTCAGGGTATGCTTTCTCCGTAACATACAACCGTAGTGATTCTTTATCATGGTTAGCAATACTTTCATGGGCTTTGATGTAAATATTTTGCGCTTGACTGCAAAATTCATTGGTGGTAAAGTCTTCTTCAAATGATTTAATTTTGCGTACTGCCATCATTGATTTGGACTTCTTTTCAAGAAGTTGAACAGTTTGTTTTGCTCGTGTGGTGGATACTATTGACGCCTTACCGTCTCCCTCTGGGGGGATGTATGCCTCAAATATACCACCTAAAATTATTTTAAAATTATTTACAATTATATAGTGGATATATATTACAGATAACATATATATACTAAAAACATGTAACTTTTTTTTGATGAGTCGAGATGGATTTTTGTAACAAATTAAATAAATGGGAAATAAAAGCAACTGTTATTTATGTAACTAACCTGTAGCAGAAATATAAAATGGGCGCTCAATCCAAGGTCTTGGTGGTAACATTCCTCTTTCCTTCATTTTCTGACGAACTTTTTCCGGACTCATATTCCCTGCATCTTCATCAAATTTTGGCAGATCTATCTTCAAATATTTAGCTGCCCTCTCTTTTTTATATTTTGGGTTAAAATGCTTATTCGTAGTTGTACGATACGGTTGTAGAAACGCCGCCGGTGCATGACGTAAGGTACTTAACTAAAAACCAATAAAATAGTTAATTTCTGATATTTATATTTACAGAAAAAACAAAGTAATCTAACCTTAATCCAAATTGAGTTTGCCATAACTTATGGATCAGATAAGTTTTTATAGAAGTATAAGGAAAAATTAAAATCTCTGAATCATTCCTTTTAATATCATTAATCAAAGCTTATAATTCAGATAACTTTATTTCTTTATAAAGTTTATTTTACTTTACAAACTATGTAATATGATTTTTTGGTTAAAATTATTTGTCATCTGTCATTATCAGATGTCATTAAAAAAATATTGCCATATAACATGTTACTATTTGTGTATAATTGCAAATAAGAAGAACCCTTTTTTTTAAATCGTAATAAAATATTGCAGCATAATTAGAACCTACCTAATACTATGCTATTCTTGAGGTAATTTTACTTTTTTGAGGTAATTTTAAATATGAATGTTTATCCATTTTTTATTTAAAAACAAAAGATTTACTGTAAGCAGCATAAATATAAATATATTACGATAATTTCTAGAGGAGGAAAGTTATGTATCAAATTGAAATGGAAAAATAATTTTATTAAAATTATTGAAAGTTCTAGAAGAAAGACTCAATTATCATGCGCCTTAATAATATCGTAATTATTAAAAACTAAAAATATCTATGGTGTTTTGTTTTTCTGCCATTTTTAGTCATATGCTTTCCTTTCAAATAGTGATTTTTTATTAAAGTGTTAAAAAATTCAACAAATTATTGTGTTATTTTTTAAAAATAGTGTTTTTAAATTTAAGTAAAACTTGAACTGATTACGACTCGAAATAATAATTTCAGAAGAACAGCAACAATAAATATTTATTTTGGGTTGTCTTAAAACTAACATTTTGTTGGTTTTGTCTGCATCAGCACTCGGACTTTTATTTCCAAAAATACCTTTTATCTCATTCGAAATATTTCGAAACAATAAGAAAAAATAGGTGTTGAGAGAATATTTAAATCGATATTCGTGACCTAAACTACCGGACATCCGGTGACTCCATACACGTTGTCTCTAGTTCTCGAGGGAATAGAGATCGTTGCAGCGTTTCTTTCTTTTCTGAACAGGCGCAGTCCGAGAGAACTCGCAAAAGGAGTAAAAGGCTCCTACGTAACCTGTCACTACGTGAGTATAAGTGCATACTTAGAATATTAGTAGTCGTGTATCGCATTCTGTGTTGTATTAAAAATCACGCGGTGTAGTCCTTGCTGAGTCATAGAATAAAAGTTTATTTGGGTAAAAATTTCTTTGGTTATATTAGAGTTTCCCTGTTTATAACATTTCTATTTGAAGTAAGTAGCATTCGCCATGAGTCTTTGGGGGTTTTCTTGAGCAGATGGTAACCGCCTGTGGAATCGAGGACGCAGGCGGGCGATGACCCTACAATGACGGGTAACGGGTCCCCTGCCTGCCTTTCTACATTACCTACGTTCCTAATGCCACGTGTGTTTGGTTTCAGCAATATATTGTATGAGTCAGAAGGTAGAAAAACCAGTATTATCGGGTCAACGGATCAAGACCAGAAAAAGAGGTGAGTTTCAATACTTTTGTTTTATAACACATTTTTAATATTTCAACACATTAATTACAAACTAACCTTAAATGTCAATGTATATAAGCTATCAACTTAATTATTTTTCAAGTATCTACTTCAAAGTTGTTGATAAGTTGTGTTTATTGTCTTTGTGATAATGATAGTACATGCTTCCTGAAAATGTGCTTTGAGGTAAGTCCTAATGTTGTTTGATGTTTTGTTGTTTATTATTTTACTAATAGGACTATTTATATCTTACAATTAAAGATTTTACTATATTAGGCAATTAATAGTCCATAAATGTTTTACTCAGTGACAAAAATATTTGATTTAAAAGTGTTTGAAAAGAAACATGCCCATGTTTTTTTTTTGTTGAGGATTTATTACCCATACCATGCCCAATAATATAAAAATTAGTGTTCTCATTCAAGGAAACAATTGAGTTTTACCTCGTCACCTATCATTAGCATTTATGTTATTCTGGACAATATTTTTATATTATCCTGACATACAAAATATTGTTAATTCTTCATCTACTAATATAAAAATGAAAAAGTGGGATACTTAAACACCACAATTATTAATAAACTTTGTTTTAATCTGCAATTTTTATAAAACAATTACATTGTTAACATCCAAGCCATTGTATTTCCAATCTTACTAATGTTTGTGAATGTTAGAAGGTAACTTCAGAACGGCTGCATAGATCTTGTAGAAATGTAGCATAGATGTAAACATATTCTGGAAGAACACAGGCTACTAAATAAGTTTTTTTTAAATTCCTCATGAATGGAGTCGCAGGCGACAGCTAGTACATGAATTTGTCCTCAACAGGTTTAGTGTACAAGCGCAAAAATCATTCAAAATCTAATAATTTGTATGAGGAATAATTTGACAAAGGTGACTGACCTATGAGAACAATGACCTTTGTCCAATGCCTTATCCTTTGAATGTCATTTGTTGAATTTCTAAAGCAGATGAAAATTATTTTCATACACTATATTTACTATAAATGTAAATCTTTGTAGTCTAGCAATCTGGCTTTGAGCATTCCATTAAAACTATTTTATATGTAAACTAGCTGTTGCCCGCGACTCTGTGCAGATTAATAAAAAACATAATAAGTAGCCTACATGTTCTTTCAGACTATACTACATCTGTGCCAAGTTTTTCTAATATCCATCCAATCATCCAGACATTTGTATTTTTAATATCAGTAAGATTGATCATATATTTGGTCAAAGTTTAAAAAATATAGAATATAATTGTTTATCAATACAATAATTTTGGTGAAACTCGATAGAGATTGTAATTTATTGCCCAACGACTGTTAATAATTTATAATACAGCAAATATTATGTTTATAATGGCAGGTTCGCAAACAAAATTAATTGCTTGCATTGTAATGAGTCAGATTTGCAATAGCTAAACAAATACAAGGAAAATACAATTTATTTTTTAAACTGGTTTATGAATTGTGTTAGGCCATGTTTTTTAGACTATAATATTTCTAGATTGAGATAGCTTTAGACGTAATTTTATTAATTTCTTAAATGATTTGTTATTTGTATTGGACCTGACTAGTTTTAATTTATAGTAAAAACTACTTGTCTGTTAATCTTACTAATATTATAAATGTGAATGTTTCGAAGGATGAATGGATTGATGATTGTTTGAAGCTATCTCCAAAACGGCTGCATAGATCTTGATGAAATTTGGCACATATGTAGAGCATAGTCTGGAAGAACACATAGGCTACTAATTAGTTTGTTTTTTAAATTCCTCGCGGATTGAGTCGCGGGCGACATCTAGTAATTTATATTCTATTAAGATTCTACACAAACAATATTTTAAATAATGCTAAATAGGTTATGATATTCAATAAATATCTTGTAAGAAATGAAAAACATGTTGTGACGGAGAATATTACAATTGTTTATATCATAAACATGTTTTGCTGTTATGTATGGAGATAAACAAATCTATATTTAACTATATGTGACTTATTGTCTCTTCATTTGTTGAGATGTCTGTCCAATATTGTAAAATATTTTTATAGTTTTTTTGGGTTCCCCGTACCTCATAGTAAAAAAACGGTAATCCTTATAGGATCACTTTGTTGTCTATCTGTCTGTCTGTCAAGACCTTTTTTTTCTATCTGTGTAAAAAGTAATTAACATTTTAAACTTTGAAACCTAGTGATTATTCTTGTAACACTATGAAGACTAAAATTGTTACCTTATTTTGCATTTTATACATTTTCTTTAATAATTTACTTTTTTATTATTTTTATAATTTTGTAGGAGGACAAAAGGAAATGTATCCTGCTTTTGTTACATAGCCTACAGTTTAAAGGTGTAATATATTCCATTTAGTCCGGGTTTTCAGTGTGCGTCAAAGTCCGCCATGTCCCCTGGGAAGCCTTGAATATTTAGTTGCCTGTCCGTACTGCGATTCATTGTTTATACATTCCGAAATTCGCTTCGTACGTACGATCTGCTATATTTGTCCTGACTATTTGATTGTTAAAATCACTAAAAAACTTTTAAATACGTACATGAATATAAAGTGTTATTGTGTTAGAAACGCCGCAATTTTGTACTAACTGCCACTCGAAGGACGCTAGAGGATACCATTCCAACAACCAAAAATAAGAAGGTCTTACGTGCCCAAATGGCCACGTGGCTGGTCATTTGTAAAGAAACGTGGCTTTCCACTCTGAAAATGCTTACAAAGAGTGATAAGTATAAGTAGGTCGTAAGTGTATTTGATTTGAGTAATATTTCGCAATTGCATCGTCAGGTGGACTCTTATTTTCTTAGAAGTAAACTTGCGAAACTTGCCTCGTGTTAAGTTAAGGAATTGGGTTATCCAAATAGTTGCAAATAGGTCACCTTATATAAGTTGTATTGATTCGCAAAGGCTATTTGAGTATATCGTCAGAAGTGTTTAAATTGGATTATTCGGTTTTGGACTATATTTGAGTTAACATGGATAAATTTACAGACTTTCCATACTACCCACTTATGTTATCTCCTATTGTATATTAGGACATTATCTAAGTACTGATTTGTCGTAGTTCGAATGCAATTTTTAGAATTACTAACTTTTTTTTAATTCATCGTTGCAAGTTATGACATGGGATTTTGTTACGGAGTTTACAGGTAGAATTTTTTTCTGCTCTTCCGTTGTAACTAACTATAATGACGAACAAATACTTGTTATTCAAGGTTTATATTGAGTCTTATCTACCTGGGGAACAAGGAAGTGTCATTGTACCTCAATGTCACATAGGCGCCATTTTATCTGTCGTTCGGGCCATCCGCCATCTTCTGTGTTCACACAAAGTTGATTCCCGCCAAATTTTACACTAGTAATTTAACTTCTGGATAATAGGTTTTCAATACTGATGTTTTTAAATTATTTATATAAAACTAGCTGTCGCAAGTGACTCCATCCATCCATATTAACATTCGCATTTATAATATTAGTAATATTTACTCGTTATCAAAGGAATTAGAAATGCTGCGAATCAAATACTTTCAATTTAAAGTCTTATTATACGACCTTGTTTAACTAACCGTTGCCAAAATCTTTCCTCCAATGTCCACATGTCCTTGACTTTATTTGTCTTAAACGTAAAAAATTGTTTCCGCAGAGCCGAGTTAATAATAGTGTTCGCGCAAAACTGTTTGTGCTAATTGAAGACTATTTACGGAGAGCGTAAAGCTTTACATATACAATTGTACACCTGAAATAACTTCGTTATACTCTACAACACAAAACACTTAACTCTTAAGTGGTTATAAAGAAGTATATTTACTGTACTGTTTCATAATTTAGTAGTCCCGAGAATTAAATTGTAAGCAGCACACTAGTGTGTGGTCACCTTTACAATATTTTTATTTCGCTTAATCAAATGACTAACAAATGATACAGACAAAATGCTACATCTTAAAGGAGATATATTTTTGATTTCCTCTTAGCAGTATTGAAAAAAAGGAGTTTGTTACGTGAATAATAGGACAATCATGTTTTATCTTGTTTTACAAACTTTTTTTCTTAACTAGATAGTGACTAGTAATTCAGGCTTAATAAGAATTATAAGGACAGAAGTATTTTACGGCCGCGGCCAGTAAGTTCAGCTCAAAGGTTCGCAAGGTAACGTGGCGTAATGTACTTTCAAGCCATATCTAGTAGTGTACTAGGGTGACCACAACACAACAGATTTCATAGACATTTTTAAAAGGTAACAAGGAAGGTTTTGTTTGGGCTTCTGTTAAATAACTACTAGCCAGAAACTATTCCGCAATAAAGGAATACACTAACTTCAAGCACACTAACAATGAATAGGAAAACTCTTCCTTTTTGTAACTAATTTTAGCTTTCAATAAGTTTAAAACCAGTAACTAGTAAATCTCTTGAAAATAAATATGAATATTGTATTTTGTGTACTTAATATTCTAGTATGTATTATGGTCACCGTAGGATTGACGTAATGCCGACGTTGTAGCGTAGGTCGCTCGATGTTGACGTCGGCATATCCATTGAATTTATGTATCACTTATATAACGCAGTATTGTTGAATCTAGATCCATCTAGAATTGTTATAATGCCCTTTCTTATATTGAATAACTTTACGTTTAGTCATTCGCTACAAATGTATGTTAAACTAAACAATAGACACAGTACAATCAGAGTCGGGTAGTTAATTTGGCGAAATGTGAAACCTTATGGTAACAGTTTGCTATACAATATACGAACCGAAGTGGTAAGCTAATTTAATTCTTTAACTGTACATGAATAGTCTAGTATATATGCATGTATTGATCCGTAAGGAAGGGACGCAGATTTATTGTTATTGCCTCCATTTCTGATATTGTAGTTGACCTTATTCGTAAGGATGTCGCTAGAAACTAATATAAAACTGTTACATGGATGACATTTATAGCAGTGTTTATGTTTGCGGTTATATTACATTCGTTATAAGTAGCTTTATTATATCTTCAAACAAAATACAAACTGATAATTAAAACACAACAGTCCTTTCTTCAAAGTACACGTGTTACTTTTCTGTAGGTTATAGGCTATTTTTCAAATAATATTTACGTACTATGTGTACTATATAGACATAGAATTTGAATATGATTTGTGTTTGTTCCAGATGAGAAAGAGAAATACGACCCTAACGGGTTCCGCGACGCGCTGGTGCAAGGGCTGGAGCGCGCCGGCGGCGATCTGGAGGCGGCCTACAAGTTCCTAGATGGCGCCGGCTCCAAGCTCGACTACCGCCGCTATGGGGAGGTCATCTTTGACGTTCTCATCGCCGGCGGCCTGCTGCGTAAGTACCACACCCAACATAAGTACATCCCCTTTATGTCGTTGCATAGTTTTGTTAGAAGGATATTTATAGGATTTACAGAAAAGGGGTATGTCCCTTACCTCCTCTGCCGAATCCATGAGAAATTCTGAATCTAAATAGACAAGCAAAGATGAAGTTGGGCTTCCCCCATGTTGAAGGTATCTTATTTAACATGATGATAAAACTGGCTAGAGTCCTGAACAACTTGTGTGGATAAAACTATTCGTTCGTTCATTACATCTGATTATTTTAATAAATTTAACATGTACTGTAACATTATATGCAAGTTGTAACATGTTTGTGTGTTACAGTCCCCGGCGGGTCGGTGTCGATGGACGGCGAGTCCCCGAAGACCAACACGTGCATTTTCTCCGCCAGCGAGGATATGGAAACCATGCGCAACTTCGAACAGGTACATACTATGTAGTCTTAGATATTATACTAGAAACAAGTCTAGATTTTGCACAGGTATCATAGGACATCAGAAAATATGGATAGGTTGAAATACAAACTTTTCCGTAATTTATTAAGTTTGGTTTAGTAAAATCTATGTTCTCCCAGACATATTGTACATGCAGTATGCAATACATAAAAGTCTGACAATAAATTAATTAGGGTATTTTTGAGTAATATCAATATTTCTAAATGATGAAATACATGGCTAGAGTCCTGAACCATTGTGTGGAGGACACTATTTCTCGTTCGTATAAATCTGACAATATAATAATTAAATATAACAAAGACAGTGTATAGCATATATTCTGACAAAGAAATATATTTGCAGGTCTTTGTCAAGCTCATGCGTCGGTACAAGTATCTGGAAAAAATGTTTGAAGAAGAAATGAAAAAGGTAAGTTTAAAAATGCTTTTGCTTATATGTAAACTGAGAATGAGGACAAGACTTTAGTAACAAAATGTATTTTTTTGTAGCAAATATTGTGTAGGTTTTGATATTTATTAATTTATTTCAGGTCCTTGTTTATTTGAAAGGCTTTGAACCCCAACAGCGCATCAAACTGGCTCGTATGACTGCACTATGGATTGGTAAGTCGCAAATAACAAAATCCTTGTATGATTATCAAAGGCTTTGTCTGCCTGATGCATATGCTAAAGCTTTCTGTGTGTTGTGCAGGTAACGGTTGCGTGCCGCCTTCGGTGCTGTTGGTGCTGGTGAACGAGCACCTGCTGAAAGACAACCTGGCGCTGGAGTTTGTGCTGGAGGTGTTCGCCACCGTGAAACAGGAGCGCGGCGTCACCTCACTCGTCACCGCACTCAAGAAGGGACAACTCGAGGGCAGGTAAAACTTTTCAATGTGTGCCGTTTGGTATAAATCTTTACGAACTCTTTAAGACCCCTTGACTACAAATAAGTGATTTGGTATATTGAATCACGCGACTGATCTCGGGGCAGAGAGATGACGTCATGTACTGGCTCGCGGCATCCTTGTCGTGACGTCATAAATGACGCTACATGGATCACTTAGAAACTCTTCATTTTAGAAGACTTAATATCATTAGGAGTGTTGCGACAATGTAAACTCACAGTTGTGTTGCTTGATGTAGGTTGCTGGAGTTCCTGCCGCTGAACCGTCGCAGTGAGGAGGTGCTGGCGTCCTCGTTCGCGTCGCGCGGCCTCGCTGAGCTGCTGCGGCTGCACCGGGCGCAGGCTTCGCAGGTACACCACTGTTACAGACAATACGTTCCTACATAGGATCGAATATGTTACCATACTGCTGCCATAATGTACGATTTGAAATGCATCTGAATTTTTTGGTATTAGAAATGGCATTGCTTGAATCAATAATAATATATCTGCTCCAGTTTGCCCCCATGTGAAATAAAAAAAAATCAAGTATTGTCTAAATAAAATATATTAAGCTAGCTCAGAAGTTTAAACAATTGCAAGCATATAGTTGAAACATTAAAATTGTAGATACTGTGTGTATTCTAATGTAACTCGTGTGTGCGCAGGAGGCCCGGCGCGAGCTGACGGCGGCGCTGCTGGACGAGCTGGCGGAAGACAAGCCGGTGCGAGATCTCATACAGGAGCTGCGCGACATGGCGCAAAAGCACGCCATACCTGACCACGAAATCGTCGCCATTGTGAGTACAATACTGCCACAACACAGTACAGCACAGATATAATAGTAGAAAGTACCGGTCAAGGGGCGGGGGACAGTACCATTATATATACGTGCCTCCATGGGCTCGCCTGGGAGGGGACCTAGCCTGGATTATCGGCTGGCGACACCCAATCGTGTCTAGAAAGACGTCAAGTTGTTTTATGAGTGCACTTTGAAGGAATAGTGACATCTGTTTATGGAACTTGAATTTCGAAACTTGATACCCCTGAAACAGAGGGATAATTGGAATTTATGTTTAATATTAGTAGTACTTGTTATTATTATATATTTCTTTGAAATGATGAAACTTGATGACGAGTCGGAGAGGTACGGCCAAGCTTTACGAGTTGGATGTGCTCGAGTCTTTCGAGCGCTCTGTACTTGTCTGGCTAGCGTCGTATCTTCAATGTCGACATGGCAATCTGATCCATAACACATACAACATAGAGTTGTCATGGGCGAGTAGCAGTGGTACATGTAGAGGGTGTTGCAGATCTGGCAGTGCGTGATGTCCCGCGGCGAGTGGAACAAAAAGGAGGAGCTGCTGGCGGAGCAAGCGGCCAAGCACTTGCGCCACTACACGCCTCTGCTCGCAGCCTTCGCGCACTCCGCCAAAGCAGAGATCGCTTTGTTAACCAAGGTATGACTGTTAATTTACTTGGATTTAGAAAAAAGTTTTATATGTTTTCTGCGCACGATTAGAGCCAACCCGAGTATCGTGCTCCTGTTGGTGTCGAAGTGTGCGATATTGATTCGTAGCTGCAGCTATTGACTTTTGTGCAAATGTTTGCTCTATTGTTTGTCTATGGCTACGATACACATTTAGAAATGACCGCATGGAACTGATAAAATCTAATATTTTAATTAATTACAGGAATAGTAACATTTTGCAAAATTGATTTTAGTTTTAAAACAAGTATTCACTAAGCTGTTTGTTGAAGGATTTTTTATGTATCTAGTCTGCTTATTTAATATTTACTGAAGTTTTCTTTGTGTATGTGTAGGTGCAAGAGTACTGCTACGAGAACATGAGCTTCATGCGCGCGTTCAGCAAGCTGGTGCTGATGCTGTACAAGACGAACGTGCTGTCGGAGGAGGTGATCCTCAAGTGGTACCGCGAGCCCAACTCCACCAAGGGCAAGGTGATGTTCCTCGACCAGATGAAGAAGTTCGTTGAGTGGCTGCAGAGCGCAGAGGAGGGTACGTTAACAACATATAACAGTTTACATTGTAGGTCAAATGTAATTAATATCTAAATCTAATATGTAAATATGACAATAGTAAAAGTTTTCATTATGTTTGGATTTGTTTGTATTGATGTGCACACGATTAGAGCCGGCTCGGGCGCTCCGCCCCCGCCGGTGTCGAAGTGTGCGAGAGTGACTCGCGGCGTGATCATGTGCTGTAACTGTTGTAGATACGTTGTTGTCGTGCCACGATACATTGCCCATTGTCTTTACACTAAACAGTGTATTGCGCTTGGACATTAACTACCGCACTCACAGTTATTCAGTGATGAATAAAGTAGTCCCTTATTGTAGATTTAGTTTGAGAAAACTACGATAGACGAGTGTTTGGTAGTAGATACGATAGAAATCCACTAAAAACTAATTGAGATTAAATAAAAGCTGTCTTGCTCTATGAGTTAGATGCCAAAGGTATATTTTTCAATCGTTTCTTATTATTCCAGAGTCGGAGAGTGGTGAAGACGAAGATTAGATTAAGAGCAGCGTGAGACTGAACCCTACATACACAAGCGCGCCGTCCCACTCCGCACACCACAGACATACAGACAGACAGACAGCGGGCGGCGCCCCGCACCCCGCCCCGCGCCCGCACGCTCCAC